AGTGTATCAGATTAATGTGGACACTGTAATTGCAGATGCGTAAGAAACTGGTCGCATAGCCCCTTGCCGCTTCCGGGCCGAGAAAGCGGCGGCGGGGGGGGGGGCTGGTGGAGGCGCGAGGAGAGGTCGGGCGAGCGAAGGCGAGTAGAATTACGGGTGTACACTTTGGGCCAATTTTAGCAGAGATGACGAGAGTTCAGGGATTTGTTGGTTAAGACAAGTCACGTTCTGTTTTTTGAGGTTGTTGTGTATTTATAAGGATTCTAATTTTATTCTTTTCCAGTACCTGTTTACAATATCTAAAATACGGAAATTGATGTGTTCGTCGAATGTGTGTTTATATAAATTTAAATGATTCATTAAAGGGGTCACTTAAATTTCTTTAATTTACCGTATTTAATTATTGGGAGGTATCTACCTCACCAGCGATCTAATTAACATTCAAGTATATTAAATATTGTATATTAAAATATCTGTATGGAAACAGCTATATTTTTGAATAGGTGTTGCACATTATAATCCTTTCCCTAGTCATAATATTCCTTGAATAACATTACGCTCAATGGTTTAACATATACAAACTTGAAATAATAACATTCTAAGAGTTCGTTTGGGACCACGAACGAATGAAATTATAAAAAAATTTTGTATTTATTATTATCAATGACGATTTTTAAACTGCAGCTGGTGTTCGTAAATTAACAAACAAGTTGATATTTCTGATGCTCAAAAGCTTGATAATAGAGCAATTAGATCTTACCCTTTGTTGAAGGAGCGTTCAAAGATTAGTGAAACAAAATCGCATGGGTTTCTCCTGTAACGGCAGGCAAGGGAATATAAGCCAAAAGTGTTTTATGAATTGTAAATCTTGTACAGAATCACTTATTACTCGTCAAATTCGTATCAAATATTCATATTTATTTGCACTTTTGCTTTAATTTAAAGGCAAGTGTGCTTGATATCTTCAAAACTACTAATTGAAGAGACCCTTGAGTAACGTTTTGAAACATTGGCGCGTTTTAGTTACCAAATCATAGTTAGTTATTCTTGCGGCTTAAGTGTTTGTGGAAGAAATATTTGCAAAATCTGAAAATGTCTTAATAATATTGACCTTAAAATACACCATTGCAGTTTACAATTGCTTCAAAACGTTTCTTTCAACTATGTTTTGGGTACACTTAACTTTTTGTATAACGCAAAGAAAGCGAGAGCGAAGTGTAATAAACAACATAGTTCAAATCAATTTACACATATTTTAGCATTACTTTGAATGCAGCAGAACTTGAAGGTACTCATCATCTTCGTTTGCAAGGTCATTCACGTACTTAGCAGTGGGTTGCTCATGAGTCTTCGAAGTTGCTAACAAAGGCGCTAACTGTATGTGAACTACATAGGCACTGCGCATTTCATATGTGAACTTGAATACATCACTTTGAGGTACTTTAAAAAATTGGCGAACCCACTTAATTACATTATATTTTTATATAGATTAACTTTCTATTTTTACAACTGAGCTTATTCTCTGATACAGCAAATTAGTCAATAGGCAGGTAATCACAATCAGAAAAAAAGCTCTTCATGAAGAACATGGAAAGGTAGCTGTGATATCTGGTATTCTTTAGTATTTTCTTTTGGTAAATTTTTGTAACCTTCAAGATATTTAACTGTTCATTTTTGAAAATAAAAACGAAACTTCATGTTTCTGGTATCCTACGGGAAAATATTATTTTGGGAATTGCGTATGAATGTAAGAAAGTAATGATTCATCTGGTGTAATTATTTACCATCGTGGTATGTTATTAAATATCATTAATATTAACTAGCTGTATTCCTGGGATTACATCTCACAGAAAAGAAGAAATGATGAGCAGTTACAACCGAAAAATACTTCTAAATACGCAATGTAAGGAAAATCAAAACCCCTCAAAATATGTTTCATTTTGTTATTCTCCAAAAATTATGAAATGAAAAATACTTACAAATCCTGGAACAATACAATCACTACTCTGTGTGAACTCGGAGTAAATCTTCTTTCAGAAAATGTAGTTGAAATGTATATACTATCTAGATTTGTACAAGTATGTGGTATGTCGTGGTCGCGTATTGTAGTGGTCTATTATTGGATATCCTACTATCCACCTTGTCTTAGAAACGCAATGTATCACTTATATTAATTATTATTATAATCACTGAAAAGTGTGTGTGAAAGTCACATGAAAGAGACGACTGATGATGTTGTGGTTATTTATAAACATACTTTAATCTTTACATTCAAAAGAAGTAAATATATTGTATACGATTGCTCTCTTCGCTTGGCCAACTATAACATCGGTTTACAAAGATATCCTTGTATTGCATTGTAATCATATTTCTGTTGGTCTTGAAAATAAAGTTCACTACAAATGAAGAGAATGAACGCAGATACGCGCATAATACTCTCTGGATAAACGTGTTTACACTATGAAGCCGTTGCAAATAGCGAGATTTTACACATCTGGGGACCACTAATTTTTACTTAAAGCGAAAATCTTGAAATATGTTTTCGTGGAAATCTCAAATTTCTTTCTAAACGAAAACTCTTAGTGTTTTAGATATAAAGATGAAATTTTCAGATGAAAACCAAGACATTCAGAATGCTGATGATAGCAATATTTATCTTTCAAACTTGTGGTAAAGATTATTTAAATATTGAAAAATAAATATAGCTTATATTCAAAATAATGTGTAATATTTTGTCTACACCGTACTTATTCATTTTAATTACTGGACTATTTTTATACATTTTTGCGGGCAATTATTATTGTTTTTTAAGAATTACCTATCCGAAGCCCTTAAGTACTTCCTAACTAAACTCTTTGTAACTAAAAACATAATATTACGTTAGAAATTCTTTACATTGATCCAGGTTGAACTCATGTATTACAATCTTATTACAGCCACTTCATTAAGAGTAGAGAATAGCTTTAACGAATATATTTATTTGCGTGCCTTCCTCCACAGGCTCATCTCCTCGAGCGTCCTTCTAGATCTGGGAGTTTTGGACACAGATTCCGACGAGGACATTGATCTGAACGGGTAAGGCGTGCGTTCTGTTGAAATGGCTCCCTGGTGGAAGTCCCGCATTCTGACGCGTTTCCTCTGCGTGACGCAGCACGACGGTGAAGCCGCCGCCTCAACTGACGGTCGAGGTGCTGCCGGGCAGCGTGGCCGCGGCGGAGGGGCTGGACGCGAGCAAGGCGGACCCCTCGGCCCAGGCAGGCCAAGGGGAACCCAGCCACCCGGCCTAGGCCCCTAGGCTCTCTTCTCCACCTTTTCCCGCACTTCAAGCAACGTATTAATGGAACATTTTTATATATTTTATTTATGCCGTGTATTTTAATCTTTTGCTCTTAATAAATGCTTCCAGGCAAAAGTACTACAACTCTGCTACACCTTCCGAGAAATGTAACGTTCAGGTGAAATTGGTCAAAATCCTAAACTTTCCCTTCAATCTCTCCTGATTGTTGCTTCTCTATTTCAAGTCCTGAAAATGTGGAAATAGTCCCTCCTATTTTGGATTTTTTTTTGTCATGAATGGCAATTGCTGTAACTTCAGGTAATTGAATATCTATTGACCAAAATCCCAAATTCGCGTTGAACTATGTAAACCAACACAAAACAAATAATTATTTCGGTAAGTTTATTTTCGAATACGAAAAACACAAGACTATAAACTTAACGGGTCTGATTCTGCAATTATCTATTGATCCGCCACCATTATGGCTTCAGAATATTGTTAAGCGACCGTGAAAAGTGGAAACTGGAAAACTATTCGTGCAGAAGAAGCGAATAGCAGAAAACATCAAATGAAAAGCAAAATAATAACTCGCGCGACATTTGTTTAGAAAAAATTCAATTGCTTTGTCAAATTAAAATTGTAATGGAACAAATACATGTGAAGTAAGGATAAATAATACAAAATATAGCAAAATATCTTTCATTTAATTTTTAATTAGATTGTAACATGTAAATGGTGGTAGAATGAACGATTACAAAGTATTGATATCCGGTAACACGCTTCTGCCATCGCATGAGGTTTTTTGGACATATCAATATTTATTCAGTTAACAATATTTAAATTTTGAATAATAAACAAATGCCAACACTTATACATAAGTATACAAAATTGTCTGTCGTGTTAACTCATGGCTATATTAAACTCATTTTGGCCATAGAGTTCACTTTGACAGACACCAGATCAAAAACAAATAACAACTTCAGAATAAAATCTCAGAATCAAATTATAGTATAAAGTTTTGAATTTTTGTCAACCACAGGTATCTGCGCGACGATTCGGAGATGTGAATGTCTTCCCATCTCCCAAGTGAACTCCATTACAAACCCTGTGCCAACACTTGTATATTGCAAAACGTTCCTTTAAGGCACAGTGACAAGCAAAAAGTAAACTGGCCAGGGGTGGTAATTTAAGATGAGTTCGAGATCATTCGAATAAAACAGTTTTGCAAGAATACGCTCTGCCGAAGTCCCGTTTGTGTCTTCACCAGATCGTCATTCCGCAAAAATAGAGCTGCAGGTTGAGTTTGCGTAATCAGTTTTTCAAGTAGATATCGAAACTTGCCATAAAATTTACATGTGAATTGTTCACAGTTTTTGGAAAATAAAATTCAAATACATTTCAGATAATGACAAAAAAAAAAAAAAAAAAAAAAAAAAAAAAAAAAAAAAAAAAAAAAAAAAAGCAAAAACGCAAAGAAAAAACTTATTGAGTCTATAGTTCATTAATAAAAGAGGTAATTAAAATGACATAATGGATCTCGTGTGATGTGAAGTGTGACTGAAGTGAACACCTAATAATTAAATAAAAAGGTAATACCAAATCAACTACCCAACGCAGACTACACGCGCGGGTTTTGCTTTGCTGTCGAGCGCCATCAGTCAGGAGTCTGAAACCGCCGTGTAGTGAGAAGTGGTCCCGTTGGGAGCCCGAGGGTTGGCGGCAACCGCGGGGGCGCGGGGCGGCGCAGGGCGTGGGCGGGTGCGATTCCTTGGGCGCGTTTGCCGCCTGCTCGCGAACACCGCCCCCCAGCGCCATCACAGGTTGTTGGTGCAGGGCTGCTGCACGTAGTTCAAGCAGAAACCGCGGTTGCCCACGTCCGCTGGCGCTTCCAGCGCGTCCGTGTGGAACGACAGACGGAACGGTTTCACCGTGCCTACAACAGAAAGCGCCACTAGTCCACGGAGCTTTTCGCGAACGTGGATCCTGTGAAGGTTAATTTTAGTATCACAGCTGAAGTCAGCTTTAACTTGAGACTATTTCACCTGTGAGATTATGAATGAGAAAAGTAGGTCGAAGATAAGCAATTTAATTTACACATTCATTGACAAACTCATTGACTATCATATCATATCACATACAAGTATGAGTATCTATTATCATCATATGACATTCAAATTAATTGATTATCACAATAATAGTTATTTTTTAAGTGATATTTCTTTCGAAGTAACGTTATACCAAAAATATCTTACAGATAAACCATAATCTCAAAAACAAACTTTTCAAAAAAGTAGAATGCAGCAGAAAGATTTATAACAGGATATTTGTTCCCCAAGCTGTAAGATAGGGTTATCTAAAAAGGGAAGAGATAGTCGGGTTGAATAAAACGTCATTTTAATTTTTACCTTAAATTATTTCAAAATCCATTATTTCCATTTTCAACTAAAATGTGAACATTTGAAACTTTGTTATGCCTTACAATTTTATTTCCACATATAGGAGAGTTCTGAACGCACTTCGTGTGGTACTTCACTACCACATTAAGTTGATTACAACCAAGTCTTTTGTCACATATTTATCTATAGGAATTATTTTTTCTCCATTCAGTTTGCGACGTTTGTCATACGTCGGAATTCGTTGGAACATCACACACACAAAGCAGTGACATTATCCTGACGTTCCTGAGAATCTCAGCGTAAACAAAATCTGCTAAGCAAGTTGAGGAAATGATCTGGGATGCCCGGGTGACGCCGCGTCGAAGGCCGCGGAAGCCTACGGTATCAAGTTGTGGAAAGCATTAACTTCGGAGCGTGCGTATTCTTGTCAACTTTTAAATTCCTCGAATTTAATCCTATCACGATGATAGCAATTAATAATGGCAATGATAATAACGACAATAAGAAGAAGATATGAAGGAAGTGGGGGAGAGAAATAAGAATGTGGAGAAAAGGAGCCTTAGGAGAAAAGGAGCCTAAAAAGCCCTGATTGGTGTGTGAGTTGTGGGCGAGCGTGCGCACTCACTGTAGATGGCGGAGGGCACGGTGGAGACGTCGGCGTTGAGGGTGCCTCCGCAGATGCGGTCGACGCAGGTGCTGGTGTTGCGCCGGCCCACGTTGGAGGCGCACGGCACGCCCAGCCAGTCGTTGTTGCACGAGAAGGCGCCCATGGAACTGACGCGCGAGCTCACCGTCGCCTCGCGGCTCAGCGTGTTGTCCGACAGCGTGAACGCGTGCGTGCGGTTGTTCACTGCGAACGCAGGCACGCGTGCGGGCGTCAACGGGCGCAGCCGAGGGTACCCCAATCCAAATGGTCGCTTTTGGTCCTTCTGCACCGGGCTTAGCTACGCCTCTGCTTAAGAGATAGACTAGGGGTCTTCAAACATTGAAAGATAATAATTTATTATTATTATTATTATTATTATTATTATTATTATTATTATTATTATTATTAAATACGTTTAAGCAATTTAAAAGGATAATAGTGTTACAACTATTATTTATGTTTGCAGCTCCTCTCCTTATAGCGAAATTATTGTTAATTAACTTTCAAACTGAATACTACAATAACACACAAGCGAAAAATCGCGTTCTCCTGTCAACACTCCTGACCTTGCCACGCCCCGGACGCGCAGCAACTCGACTGTAGGAATTTTGACCGAACCCTCTCGTTTACTTATATGTTGTTTTTATTCGTCAATCCCCACCTGCTCGAGCGAGCGTCTGCTCTGCGTTCTCTGCTGCGAATCACACACTTACACAATATCACGCTCTCCTTCAACTCATTTCACTTGCAATAAGGTACGATGAACGTTAGCAACGAAACACAGTATTTAGAATTTATAAACGTCACCAATTGATTTCGTTTCCCGATTTTGCTGCGCATTGTACTTAAAGATGGAGTTGAGTTCGTTAATAATGGCGATGAATGAAGGAATTCTGACACTAGCCGAGTTTTTCGTCAGTTTAAAATGCCTTCGTTTGGAAGGAAGGAGAGATACCAAGCAGATGTGATGAGAAGTTTCTTAACTGAGATACTGATTCATATTTATATACTACGACTCGCAAAATTTGTATGTGTTCATCATCTAGTTAGCATACACACTATGGCAAGATAATCTTATTTGCACGAAGGTAAATTTCCCTTTTTGTGACTTTGCAAAAACTATAACACCCTTCACGTAGGCCATTCATAATGGAATTTCAGACGAAAAATAAGAGTAGAAAACATTGTCGCACAATTAAAATTACTTCACTTCATTTGTGGTGAACACTGTTTTTAAGACGTACTGCTGTGACAACGATCGATAGTCAATTAACGTTCCTATCACGAGCAATTTGAAACGAAAAGGATAGAAAATTGTTTTGGGATTGATTTTATCACGGTGCAACTAAAGCTAGGAACACGAAATGTTGGATGCGCACTCCTACATGAAGCGAATAAACATTTCGAAGATAATGTTGGAGGAATGAAAGACTGTGGTGGCTTAGAGCATCAACTATTGGATGCCACTGCAGTCTCCTCTGCCGCGGGAGGAGTTTCACTAGAATCAGCCGCTGTCTGGACGAGAGCTCTAGCAGCGGCTGCTCGTATCTATAGTTGTCTATTGTTTCTACGATCAAAACTAGAAGAATACTACTTCGATCTCAAAGAGTCAGTATGGATCTTAATGGAGCAGTATCTGAATGAACGGGCCATGCACAACGCGTGATCTTTCCTTTTTCTTCCTTGCCCTGTCATCGCCCCTAGTCACCATCACAGCCTTACGTTCACCACACTTTCGCACATGTCGGGAGACCAGTGAGAGGCGTGTCACAACTTGTCCCGGATAGCGCGGTACCCCGATGCTGGGAGATACTTGGATGGCGAAAACACGCATGCGACGTGTAGGTCGCCACCTGCTTTCGCCACCCACTGGGGGAAGAACTCCGCCAAACGCATACACAACGCGTGACAAAACATGCACTATACGTACGGGACTAACATCCATACTAGCGGCCTCACCCGTGTCCGTGCAGGAGGTGTACTGAATGCCGCAGAAGTTGCGTTCCATGCGCACGCAGATGCTGTAGTCCTGGTTGCTGAGCTGCAGGCCGGCCGCCGGGTCGTAGTTGAAGCTCTTGATTTGGCCCGCCACCCCCGTAAAGTACTGCAGACAGCCTTCCTCCGCTGTGAAGAATGGGGCGACAGTTAGTTTGCGTGTCAAGTGCGATGATCACAGATTATAAGTGGAGACCTCCTGCCCTTGCGCTGTCTCGAATTCTTTTAGATACTTTTAGTTACACAATGCAGCGCATACATACTGAAAATCTTAGACATGCAAGAAGTAAATTAAAATCTTTATGTTTTGAAGCTAACCAACAAATAGAAGTAATACTTGGAAAATGTTTATTTTGATGAGTAAGTTATCAAGCAGGCGTGTTTGGAGGATTGCAAGTTTGTTTAAAGCTCATTTCCCGAAAGTTGATAATTTTAATACTAAATTTTCTTTCCTTCTACTTACATTTGTAAAAGAGTGCTAAAATTGTCAGGAGTTGTTAATACAGGTCTCCTACGGTTATTGAAAAAATGTTTTTCTGATTATCCTAATATTATTCATTCTGCAAAAGTTCATGTACTCGAAAACACTTAAAAATGCATTATGAGAAAATATGTTTATCTACAAAAATAGACAACATTTATCAACATCATTGTTTCAGTGTTATTAGGAGTGATATATCTGTAACCTGTAAACATTCAATAGCTTCTGAGAATTAGATTAAAACATTTAACATTGCCACGATAGGGAATTCCGCGGCCCAGTCAATTGCCAATCAGTCTGCTTCGGCAAGGGCGCCGGCGGCCCGCGCTGAGACGCCTCCGAGGGCCGCGAGGGCTGAGAGGCGTCGCTTTGGCTGCGAGTGGCTGAGTCGTTTCGCGGCAAACACGCCGCCTTTTGTCCTCGGCCGAGGCTGAATATAAGACTTGAGTGACGCGTCCAAAGATGTGGGTGAAGAACGTAAGAAGCAGCCCGTTATTCGACGACAGCATTGGGATCCAAAAGCTAGCGGGAAAGCCTTCTTTCCACTTGGGCACTAAACACATCCATTCCCACGTGCGATCTTTAGTCGCGAGGCCATTCCCTTGGGACAATCGGCGTACGCCCCCTCCCGCCCACTGGATGGCTGCGGACGTGCTGACCAAAGGTTTTCCCGGAGTGAAGCACTGGAAGAACTTGAGCCGCTTCAGTTGAACGAAGAAGGATGATGGAGGACACGAGCGGTCCAGTCTTCGAGTCCAGTCATCTCCAGGGGGTGTTAGAGATTGCTTTTACGCACCATCTCAGACTGCGAAGTTGCTTGCTAGTGCCATGTGTGCGCCATTTTATGAGTCTCCTCTGTTTGTCAGTCGGTCGCTGGCTATATAGACAAGCCCCCACGTCGGTATTTTCGGAATACATGTTATTTCGAGTTATATGTGCTTTTTATTATTTTTTCCTGTCCCTACATTAATACATTTTATTTATTTCTACATTTCTTTTTCACAGGAGTTCAACTTGCTATATTATGAAATGATTAATTTCAAATAAAAAATTAAAACAAATATTGATAATATTATTTTTCCCAAACATCCATTGAACTGCTAAATATAGATAAATTCATCTAAAATTAATAGAATTCCGTGCGCACTTGCCTCTGAAGATGGAGCTGCAGGGTATTTGGCACACCTTCACCTTCCAGTTCCTCGGGAACGACGGGCCGCTTGTCACGAAGGTCAGGGTCACCGGGTTGGTGGCGCCTACGCCGGCGTCGATGTACACTGCAAAGATAGCGCCTGCAGTACAACAATCTGCAATTCTGTTCCGAAGCTCGCCCTCACGAATGCGCCGGGGAAAAAAACGTTTTTGCCACTCCTTCATCGCAAAGTGAAACGACATTCAATGATCGAAAAGCCAGGGATTAAATGTGATGTTATACCTAACTTAAACATTTTCCTCACTTAGAAAGTCCTTAAACAACGATAAAATAAGATAAATAGAACGTTATTGCAATAATATTTATGATAAATCTTAGTTTCTTCCAAATGTATATTTTAAGATAAGTTTGTTCTAACTGATGAATTATGGGAATAGTTTGTACAGTATTAAAATCACGTTAATCGTTGTCAGTTCTAGTAAACGTGAGTCAGGAGGATATAACGGCAACGCTTTCTAATCAATTACTTCTTTAGTTGATTCAAGATTTATACGAATTAGAAAGAAGTAATTATTATTATTATTAATTGACTGACAGCTATTTACGATTATACAAATAAATTGGGTGTAAGTAAAGTTTATCCAATGTAGTTTGATATTATCACAATTGTTGTACATTCAATTGGAATAACATTGGCACGGATAGCCTCATTTGGCCAGGAGCGCTTCGCCCTCGTGGGTACGCACTGTGGTTGCCGTTGTTGATCCCGCAGATGGCGGGCACCGGGTTGCCGCCCGACACGATGAACTGGTCGTTGGTGCACACGTTGTTCACCGGCTCGGGCCCGGCGATGGTCATCGTGTCGAAGTCCAGGCGGAACTGGCAGATGTCCGGGTGGCTCTTCTGAATCGTCAGCTGGCACGAGCCCGTCCCGTCGAAGGGACCCGGGTAGCCCGGATTCACGAAGTACGTGCAGTTCTCGCGAATGGTTTGGCCGCACATCGCGAAAACTGCGGAACGCGTTGCGTTAGAGAACACGGCATTGCAATGCGAACTTTGTTGTTACTGCGGGCATACACAAGACTCAAGCAGCAACAATTTTCATTACCTTACAACATACATATATACAGTAATACATATATTCAAGAATTCAAGTATTCATCATGCCGTTGTTACACGTTCACTATTGACTCATTCAAAATTATTTGAGAACAGAATGCTTCTACCAATATCGTTCAATTATTCCTTGCGTTTACATACTAGAAACGGAATGTAATCTAGTATTCCTACTTCGGTATAGCCCCCATAACTACATTATTTGCCTTTTTTCTCACTGAGAACTTTCACGAATTATTGAGATACTCAGAAAATTGGAAAATGCAAATGAAGTAAACGTATGATAATAGGAAATAGTGAACAATTCTTCTGAAAAGAGTTTATTTAGATCTCGTATATTGAAACCAAAACATTGAAAAAAATTGAAACAAAAAACTCTTTCGTGAGGTTCCAAATGCCGGAGTAGTTGATTGAGTGAAGCCTTTCCACATAAGAACAAGCACGAGCAAAGTTAAGTTTCCATCAATGAAGACATTTTTGATTTATTGGAGAAGACATCCTCACACAATAATGTCTTAACTAATGTACTTTATTATACTAGACGACATGAGTAATTCCTGGTACGAAAAGAAAAATCTTTTTATCGAGTCACACACTATTTCATGCATTACCATTACGGAAAGAAATCGAGAAAGTTAAAATGAAATACTCATTCTATATTGTATGTTACTCAAATATTACACTTACACTTCCTTTTTTTAAAAATTATAGATGGTCAGAATGTGAAAGAGTTGTTAACAAACTGACCCCAGTGGTCGCACTCACATGTAAAGTGTATTAACTGTGATAAACAATATTGTGCAAACAAAATGTGATATATATATATATATATATATATATATATATATATATATATATGTATTGTAGCGGTACAGAATTAGTGAGATAAATTAAATTGAGTAAAGCAGACCTAAGAAATTTTCTACTGAAGAAAAACATACGGCGTCAGGCGCGCAGCCCCCCTTCTTGCAACAGCCGCGGTCCCCTGACCCATTTTGAATGTTTATGACACTCCACCCAACAACCAAACAAAGGGGTAAACTGTAAAAGCGCGCAGCGGGAACCCACATCTGGAATACTTCCGAAACGCCTGTCATCGTGATCGGGGAAACCCGAAGCAATAAT